ATGCGAACAAAGATGCCACACTCTTGTGAACTCCCTTGTAATCGGAGAGGCGGAGTCAGAATTTCCGAAAGTTCCCTTCCCTCGACCCACTGGCCTGCCAACAGCAGGAAAGAAAGCCCGGACTTCACGGAAAAGGCGATCCCAATTGCGAAGAGGGGATCGAGGGAAGTCCTCAGTTGACAGCAGCCACCCGAACAACGAGGCCAGGACGGGAGCTGGGGCTCTGGCCCTTCCAGCAGCAGGACGCACATGATAAAGTGGCATGGCACGGAAGCGCATAAGACCCACAGACCTGCGGGCCGGACTTTCTAGATCCCCACTTCACCGTGCCTTTCGATTGACAACCACGTGCACACTCCTGGTGACGGGATTTGCTGGTTCATCAAGAACTTCCTCAATGAGTCGTACCTTGGCTAGCAATGCCCTGTTCCATAGATTGTGTGGCCCAGCTTTTTTTGGTCCAAAGGAGCTTTTGCTGTAACGGCCCGGAGGCAGACGGTAATGACTTGCCGCATAGCTGCTGAAATTCCAGCCAAACTCCAGGAACACATGCGAGCACATACCTTTGCTGCGTTTCAGCAACAAGCTGCGAAAAGATGCGCTCGTTTGGGTTTCGTTTCTGGGCAGTAGTCTCAGTGAAAACAATGGACTTCTGGTGATCTCATTCTGTTTGTCTACCCAATGGTCATTGTTGCATTTATCATGCCTGTCATGGCCTTTGGTCTGCTTTCAGAAAACAGGCACCGAGAAGCTTAAACGTCTCGGCAGCGAGCTCCTCATTCGCACAGTTGATCCAAACAAGCAGCGCCTGCAGTTCTCATTGTGGCTTGCAATCAAACTGACACGAAGCGGTCTAAACAAATTCAGCAATTTTGAGCAGCAGCGCCACATCGGCAAGCCAACGTGGCCAAGCAAATCTCGTAAACAGTACATGACAAGTCCAATGAATGCAAACGCTGGCGACATTATGGTGAGGGTAGTTACGAAAGAGGCAACACTATGCCAGTACTTGACAAGCCTTCCAGTTCCATCCTTGGAAGCTCAAACGAGGGAGGCTGGCACGGACAAATCCCCGCCTCTGTCTGTAGAAGCAGCAACGTGCATGCTGCAGACAACAGCAGCATCCAAATCTGGCAACAGTTGAGGTGCTCCCTGGCTTTCCGATGATCTTGCACACCGTAGGCTTGCGACACCAGCGTGTCTTGGGCCCCTGCCGATGCGAATGGGCAGTGGGGGTGCAATAATCATGAACCATATTCAGCGTATCAGAACAGAAACCAAGAAATATCAGTCGTTTCTCTTTTTGATTTGATATCTCTGCAGCTATTTCTTCTGCTTGATTCTGTAGCATGGGCACTTCGGCAAGCCCCGCCCCTCCCAGTTTCATTTCGCCAGTCGGCCTGACCAGCCTGATTTGATGACAATGGCCACGCACACCACCACAGTGTTGCCCAGGCCCACAGCACCGACTCGCATCGTTGCTTCCGCTTCATCCTGACAAGCAAAGCTCCGCAGCAAACAGTTCGGTATTGAAGGTCTAAGCAAGTCGATGTGGCCTCTAGTCAAGGCATAGGTCGGCACAGCAAAGTGTGTGTTTCCCACTACCGGACACAACTAAGACATCTGAGTAAATTCTTAATAGGTTTCTGAACAGCTTGCAGTCCGAGCATCTGGACTGCCACCATGTGCGGCGGCCCATATCGGCACCACAGTGGCTGCGCCTCTCATGGAGCAGCTACAGCCTTCTTCTTCGCCAAAGGAAACCTCCAAGGAGCCAACCTTCTAAGGCATAGGCAGCAGTAACTGGCACGACGAAGCGGAGGATTTGCCTGGCGATGACTTGCCCAGTCATAGTTTATATAGTTATTATAGTTGGGTGGTCATTATTTCCCATATACACCGTATCAGGGCTGGCATCCTGGCGCTCCATCTTCTTCCCCTCCTCCGAACGTTACGCATACATTTTACTTTTCCAAATCTCCCCTTTCGCCGCTCCGGACCTCAGAAGTACTGGCCCGTCAGCTTGCGTATCCGCCGCAAGTCTAGCCATGCCGGCATGCCCAAGCTGGGCTCTGAAACAGTTTTCCGGTGGTGATTGCTGTTTGTTGCGCTCAAACGGGCTGGATGTGTCGACTTCCTCTTGAGTTTGCCGAGAATGTCTTCAATAATTAGTGTTTTGATCTGTGTTGCACTTTGTCTACATTGTCTTGGCTGGGTTCGTTTCAAGGTGTCAAGTCCTATCTCGCGTCTGCGTCTGGTCATCCGAGCAGCTCGCGGAAGTACAACGTGGCCGAGCATGCAGGGTCGGGAACCGCGGCACCGCAGAAATTAACATCGATCAGGTGCGTTTACTTAGGAATCCTGGGTGCTGGCAGGCTTGCCTTCTTCTTGTCACTTTGCTGAGGGTTTGCCGTATCTGGCCAGACCTTATCAGCAGTGGCTCTGACAATTCGATGTGGCAGGATGTGTTGTACCGGCTGTACCGTAAATGCTGCCGGTGCCTTGGCCTACTGTTCGCCACTACCCATACTATCCCATACCGAGCATGATGTCTTACGCAGATGTCGATTGGCAACACCCCGAGACGAAGAAGCAAAAGACTGACATGTACGAACACGAAGCTGATCCGCCCTGAAAAGCCCCACGGTGGTAATTGCGGCTCTTCAGCCCAGTCGCCGTCCAGCGCTCCACACCTGGAGCTTCAACTCATCCCATTATACTAAGAGCACACATAACATAACGTAATGTAATATAGTAGAATGTAATATAATGGAAAAGTTAACATAACATAATATGATATTCACAGCCACCTGCTCTACGACTCTACGCTGCTACGCCGGGCTGGGGCACCAGCGTCCTTGAAGGCAGCGCATGATGTCAGAGTCCGCCTGAACTAGGGCAACCCGGCTTCCTTTCTGTGGCCATAGCAGCGCAGGGCTGCACCGACGAGGCCTCTTCCAGGCGCTTCCCGTATTTTGTGTCCTCCGACTCATGGGTAGAGGTGGCTGCCGATGTTTGTTTGACAAAAGATGTTGAAAAAACGCCGGCTGAGAGTGGGGCTAGCAGGCTCATCCATCTTGGCTTCGGACCCTCACAATCTGCGCCGGTATCGACCTAAACGAAACTGATCCTTCTCCCAGGATACCGGTACTCGCAGGGAACATGCTCCCACTTGCTTCTTGAAGTTTCGGGCGTCTCATGCTTGCAAGGCTTAGAACCTACTTGTGCGACATGGAGATCCCAATGGGATCTGACGAGGTTCCCGAGTACTCACCGAGCACAGGAGCATTCGTGGAGAGCATTGCTGGGTTTCCAGAGCTTTTTGGGAGAGGGTTGGCATCGGAGTGGCATAGCTGAATGACAGGAGATGAAGGGGTGCATCCTCCCTGAGTTTTTGCAGTGGCAACTTGCTCCCTGTTCTGTCTGCTGCAAGCAAGGGATTCACTCAGTATCACTCAGGCCAAGCAACGGGCTGAGCTGCTGGCGGGCTTATCCTGATCGCGAGATCCCATGCAGCCTTTCGAGAACATGCCCTTGGTGCCGCAGCTTTGGCTCAGTGGACACCACCTTGGCTGCATGTTTCGATGGTCTGACTCAAAGTTCTGGGACATTTGGGACCACGAAAGCTTTTGATGGACACTGCCGCCACTACATCTACTCACTTTAATGCCGAGGCTGCGGCTGACAGTTGTCTGACGTGACGCACTGCTTGCAGACGTCTCTGCTGTGCCTGTTCGTTCTCTCGTCTCTCTCTTTCTCGCTTGCTTTGCTCCAGGCATAGGAAGGCTTCTGACATGCTTGCACAACTGGGGCACTAGCGCATCTGTGAATGGCAACTGTAGACTGTGAGGGCCATTGCCACACCTGTTTCAGCGCGGCATTGCTTGCAGCAAGAGCACCCTGTGGCTGCACCTGGGCAGCTACTACTTGACAAACCCTGCCTTCCGAAAGCCGAACGAATAAAGTCATGGGAAAGGAAAGACAGTTCACAAGTGTTTGGGAAAGCCTCCGATAGCTGATAGCTCCTCCGCTTGTCGGCACATCTCCACGTGCAAGTTGACACAAAAGCACACTCTTGCTGGCGTGACACGTTGCGCTGACGAACGCCGTGTCCGGGGCGAGAGCGGCCTCTTATCGAACAGTACTGGAAAATCTGGATAAGGGAGTTCCGGTAGCGACTTCAGCGAAGGAGTCGATAGTGACATGACGCATACTAACAGTACTAACATGTACTGTTCCTAGGTCACCTTCCACATGCTAAGCTTAGGACCAAAAGAGCTGCTGCTCGACCAAAGGATTGCCTTTGTGAGAGCTCGGCAGAAAAGCTCCGCAAACCTAAAAGCAGCACGTCGCTAACTTCTCGACTGATGCACAGACGATCTGAAAGCTGACAGCGCTGCGTAGTCATGGCTACAGTACTTTTAGCCAATCAGATTGCACCCCAACGCACCCTGTGGTCAGTCGCAACTTGCAGATTTCGATGGATCCTGTATCTAGGAAGCGGTAAGCTCCCATCATCCTCGCGCCGAACACGTGCTTTGGACCTGTGCTGCCATAGCCAAGCACGACGCAGCAAGAAGTGGCTCTCTCCGGCACCAGTGAAGCCCAGACACGTTCGAAAGCTGGAAGAAGCGACAAGCGATGAGGAGGCGAGCTATTCACATGCTTCTTGCATCACTCTTTGAATCTTCCTCGATTGTCCTCTGCATGCAAGTGTCTCAGGATGACCGATGCTTGAACAAGTCTGTCGTTGAGTGTAGCCTTCTCTCCCCAAGTAGGAACGCATCACTAGTGATACCTGCTGCTTTTACACTGCAGCCCGTGCAGATGCTATGCTAGAGTGAATGCCCAGCTGATCACGTAGCAGCACTCTTGCTCGCTTTGCTGCGTTCTGTTGTGCTGAACTGTGTTCTCGAGCCTGGCTTGACTTGCATGACAATGTCAGCCTGGTCTGCGTTCAACCGTGTGTGCAAGTTACCGCAAAAGATGAGCAAGGTATCCTGCAGTGTGAGAGTGAAGGCAAAAAGGTCGTAGAACTCGCGGAAGGACTGCGTGCACATGTCGCCTTCGGTCGGACACGTCGACTCGATTTTCCAGCTTTATGATGAACAGAACTTCATGAATCTGATGCTTCCTGCCTGCTGGCTCCAGCAATGACCGGAAATCCTTTGTCAGGAAGGAGACACCATAAAGGCAGCTGCTTGGGAGCGGAAGGCGCTTTCAAGCAAGGCTGTACTCATCAAGTCGAGCCGTCATTCATGAATCCGCAGAGAAACCCCACCAAGAAGGAAACGAGCCCTCGGCGTGCTCGATGCAGCTTGATGTGACAGCCACCTCATTGATCCGAGACTCGTGGCACCGATGATTGCGATGCGTCTCGACATGATTCCAAAGCCTCTGAGCTGTCAGCCTTAACACAAAAAGGCGACAGCAGGTCGAAATCGATCCTGTGGATGCAAGGCCGTCAGGTGCAAGCGATCCGCAAGCCCCAAGTGTATGCATGAACTGAGCCACGAACAGAAGAGGGCGCCCTCTTCTCCGAAGAATGTTCGGCATCTGCCATACGAGTACAAGCCAAGAACATCCAAGAACTTGATGGGGCCCGGAGCGTGTTTTCAACCTAATCCGGAAGTTTCCCGTTCCTTCAGGATGACTCGCTTGGCCGATATACTGGGACATCTCGGCATGTAGCTCTCTGACCACAGCCGGGTTGTGAAGCATGCTACCAAACTGTTTAGCGCTCGTCACCCATGGCTAGGCTGTTAGATGCGCAGCATGCTAGCAGAGGTGACAATTCACAACATCAGGCAAAAGCAAATGCAAAAGGAATACATTACTTCAATGCAAACTTCCTCTAAGGCTTCACACTCGATCGCTCTAATGGCAAGCAATGCATATATGAAGAACATGTGAAAAGGAGTAGGCAAATTCCGCAAACAAATACAGAACAGTGTGAAGGCATGTGAACGCCACTCTGCAACTGACCATGGGACATGGGATGTGGCACCTTGTCCCTGCTCTCACATCGGGAAGCACTGGCAGAAACTTCTCTGCAGGGATCAGGATCTGCTGTTTGCAGGTCGGAGTGCAACCCCGGCGAACACACGCTTTGGAATGGTTATCACAAGATGGTTCCGACCCAGGCAGGGGCAATGAGTAGAGGCAGGTACAGTCGGGGCTTGTATTATTGCGGCCTTCAGGTCGTTGTGGAACGCATCTTTGGCGACTCGCTGAATTGCCTGTCATAGCGGCTGTTAGAAGCAAGCGGAACTTGTTAGCACGACCAGAATCAAGCGTGTTCCCAAAGTCCTAAACCCTAAAGGCTCCAGCAATGCCTGGATCACCTGGGGTCTTGCCTCCAAGACGTGGTCTGTGTCTGTGTCGGACCAATCCTGCATTCCAGTCGAGATGAGGCTGCCCACGAAACATATGCCAAGTCTGCTGCCTCGAGAAGTTGCTCTCCGTACATATGCCAATTGTTTCATTCTTTCCGGTTTGTGCTTCATTCTACGTCGCCGTGCTGCACGTTTCCTCACCAGCGGGGTAGAGTCTCTCCATGAACACCACCGTGCCTGCGGACGCCGGGTGGTAGTTAAAAATGCCTTTGTTCGTGCAAAGCCTGAATGCAGCAAATGCTGTTGCTACTGAAGTAACGGCCAACTTGCCTCTGAAGTGTCCGCCCATATCCTGCTGCACACGGCCGTGTCCAAAAATTGCTGGGCCTCGAGATGGCAACATGCAGGGGTTGTGGTGCTGCAGCTAAGCTAACACGAAGTCTTATGGGTTGTGCGAGCAGTTGAAGTGCCAGTTGTATTCTGCATCAGCACTCGGCCGGGCACCGTAGCCGTGCAGGTCGGCAAGAAGCCCGTTTTGGACCGCTGCCCTGCTTTGTGCAAAGACAAACATGACTTTCAGTTCCCGGGTGCTGGTTTTGTCAGTGTCAGTGAAGCCTTGCGGCCTTGCCCAGCCTATGCACCCACGGTCGTTCGTTTTCACTGATGACCTTCGCAGCAACTGGGCCGAGCCTGGGCTCACTGCTTGGACTTGGACTCTGGCGGAGTTTTTGCAGAAGCTGCGCAACTTCACAGAATGCATTCTGCCAGTATGGTGCCCTTTGCCTCAGGGCTTTACCCAAACACTTTGGAGAAGCTCCCCTCGCCCAGTAATTCCACATCCTGCCGTCCGGAGGTCAGGTGTTCTGAGACTCATGCTGACAGAATGATTCTAAGTCTGACGGCGAGTAGCCAAGCCTGCCTCAACTTGCTCACCTTCTCGCACTGCATATCTCGTTATGTCGAGCACATGCAGAATGAGGTGGCCTTAGGATTCTTTACTTCGGGCCGATGCAAACCAGAGACACTCAAGTCATCCGAAGCATTTGCAGCAAGTCGAAGCACATGTAGACAGCACAAGGAACAGCTGAAGCCGCAATGCTGCCGTCCCAGCTGCGGATGGTTTTCATCGCATCCACTTGACGAGGAAAATGCCTGTAGAATGCCTTGGCCCGCTGTCCCCAAGTCTGGCAGACGCCACTTTCGGTTGTTGAAAGCTGCAAGAACAACCAGGCTCTGTGCTCAGAGGGCTTTTCTGCTATACGTGTGTGAGTACCCCAAGAACCGCGATAGAACATGCTGTGACATGCAGCTACGCGTGACTGAAGGCGGGTGGGCTGCCGTGGCAGCTGCATGAGCCGAGGGGCATCTGCAGTGAACTTTCCCCAGCATCCTCTTAACAGCCTAAGTTCTTCGTTGCACCAAGACAGGGGACTCGAGTAAGAAAGCGTGGCACTGTGAAGATTTTGCCTCCCGCCTGGCTAGGACGAACCTACGATGCAGGGCACTGTGAAGATGATTGAAAAGAAACAAGCCAGGTTTGTAGCAGAATCTGGGTCAATGATCAACTTAAAGCGACAAGAATGAGCCTCCTGAGGTTCCAGCCCCTTTGTTGTATTCAACACCTGGCCGACAACCGCACAGTAATGGACAGATATGGATATGATATGGATAGTAGTGGCATCGCTGGCAGCGGATAGCGAAACTGTTCCCATCACATCTGCTACCAGCGACAGGTGCTTTTACCTAAGAAGGCTGCAATGTCTGCTTCAAACTCAAGCCGTAACTTTTCCCATGGAGTATGCGCATGCTCGCAAGACATTCCCTGACGCTGCTTGCTTCGCAAGCTGAGTCCGTAAGACTGGGAACTAGGCGGCATCGGCAAAGGCCTGCTCGCTAGAGAGTCTGACCCACGTGGCACACTAGCCTGAAAGCGTCCCCTGTTTGAAATCGCTTGTCAGATCTTTCCCGTGAGTCGAGCGGATACAAGCCTTCCTAGTTTACAGGCGCATGGCTGCAAACGGGACAACAATCTACACATGTCTAAACTCTACACATCCGGGTCGTTTCCCGGAGAGCCTGTGCTGTGTTCAGAAAACTCCTACTGTTGGGGCTGACCGTACTGTTCATGTTCCCCTCAGCCCTGGAAGGATACCTGGCTCCGGCTCTCCTCCGCAGAAATGTTCTTTTGTTTTTGTTGGCAGGTGGTGGCAGGGTCTTTTCTTCGAAGGGTTTATGCTTTTCGGCGCTCACACTCGGACAAGCCAGGCGAGGTTATTGCTTTTGAGGTGTTGTTTTTAGGGTCTTGGCCTCCCTTGATGCATTGAGCCAGGTGGGCAGGGCACTCGGCTTTGGGGTTACTTAGGGTGTTGACGGATGTGGCGGATATGCCGAGTTGTTTACATTGAGGACCCCTGTGAAACGCGTGCTCTAACTTTTCTTTTTCATACAACCTCAGAGTACATTGAAGTAAAGGGAATCTTGTGCGGTGACTCCAGTAAAGCTGGTGAGCGTCCTGTTCCAAGGCCTGGATCCAGTATTTTGCCTGCCGAAGCAAGGCCGAGCTAAGATCAGCTGCTACCAGGTTACTACCATGCATGTAATCCCCTGTGGACACTGACTGACAATTTCCGTCGCTCGAAAGTCTCCATTCGATCTCTCATGCCGGGCCTTGGGCCATGCTGGAGCTACCCAACCAGCAGCAGCAGCGGCATCGGCAACATCTGCACTGAGGTGATACACCTTCCAGCTGTTTGAGCAGCATGGGTGTGCAGTACCCCGCTGGCCATTTCTGATGCTGGCATATGCTGGCACGGCCTTTTGCTTGCCTCCTGATGTGCTCAAGGAGAATGTGTTTCCCTGGCTGTGCACCTCTCAGAACAGATGAACGCATTGCCATCTCTCTTGTCAAAGCGGTTCGCAGCCTTCAGTCCGGCCAGTTGCAGCATACCCACTGGTTCGCTTGAAACGAAGGTAGGCCCGTGCCACCACATTAGATGACCGCCTGCCACAGCATGGTGTTGCTTGTATGCACCCATATCGACCGCATCATGCATGTTCACCCCGGTGAGCTAATTATATATATATATAATATAATACAATACAATATAATACAATACAATATAATATAATATAATATTATATAATATAATATTATATAATATTATATATTATATATTATATTATATATTATATTATATTATATATTATATTATATTATATTATATATTATATTATAATATATTATATATTTAATTATAATATATTATAATATATTATTATAATATATTATATTATATTATATTATATTATATTATATTATATACCCTGAAAAGGTAGGCTACTTGGGGTTTAAGTAGGCCCTCGTCCCAGGTATCGGATTCTAGGAAACCGTTGATGGACTTCCTGGATGCCGAAGTTCCCAGCGAAGGCCTTGCTTCGATGGAAGATAACGTTAGGATTTAGGGGCTTGTTGGGTTTCGGATTTAGGGTGAGGGCATGGGATGTCCGAGAGACTTTACATCCCTCAAAACGTTTTCATGGGCTTGTATAGATTGCAACGGATGCTTTAAAGAGAAGCCTTTTGATATAATGCGATCCCTATTAGGATGGAAGGAAAATTCCATATCCTCGACTTAGAGGTTGTGGAGTGTCGGGATGGAGAACAGTAAGAAGTATCACCCTGGCCCTGGATTGTAGTACGCTTCTTGTTCGGGTGAGTATTATCCTACTATCATATCCCGCCTAGAGTAGGACTCGTTTGGGGCAAAGGTTTCTACTAGTGGACCAAACTACCCACGCTATAGATTGCTGTTCTTCTAATCTGAACCTTAGCTTGTCCTAAGACCTAAATCCTAAACTGCCCTAAACCCTAAACCCCTAAGGCCCTAAACCCTGAATCCAAAAACGCAGTCGGTCTCTTTTGTGCCTTAGCCATGGGGGGGGATCCTTCCTGCCCTCGGGCCTGAAGGATTGGTTTTAGTTTAGGGTTTAGGGTGGTCGGATTAGGGTTTATAGATTAGGGTTTAGGGTTTAGGCTTCAGGGATTAGGTTTTAGGGTTTAAGGATTAGGGTTTAGGGTCTAGGGTTTGGGCATTAAAGGCTTTAGGGTTCTGGAGTTTCGCGTTTCAAGCTTTCGAGTTGCAGCATTTTGGCCTGGACTCTTGGAATGTACTGTGCGAGGTTTCGGCTTTTGAGGTGTGGTAAACTTGGGGGCATACACTACCCCGGCCTGGGATAGGACTTGTATTTTTTCGATTTTGATGCCAAGCACTTTGCGGTTCCGGTTGGGCAGCACACAGCTCACAAACGTCTCGGCCTGATCTTCAGGACGGCCGAGAATTCCCATGTCAGAGCCAGGACCCGGCGACGAGTGATGTGCAGTGCTCGATCAGGAACCTACAGTTTTCTACGACAAATAGCAATCATCATCGTCATTAAAAGATATTATGACAAGACTAGACTCACTGTCTCTTTGCGCGCTGCGTTCTATCCGTTCCATCTTGGATTCATTGTGGCGCCATTGCTAAGCTTTCATTTGTTCCCTACTATGCCAAGCCACGCAATGCAACTCTGACCCTGTTGGCGCTTGGGAGGAGAGACGCTGTCGCCCTCCAAGGACGACCGAGGCACGCCTACGTATTCTGAAGTCGCTCATATACTAGACTGATAGTAGCAGTAGCAGTAGTAGCAGTAGTACTAGTAATAGTAGCAGAAGTAGTAGTCATAGTAGCAGGAGTAGTAGTAGTAGTAGTAGCAGCAGTAGTAGCAGTAGCAATAGTAGTAGTAGTAGTAGTAGCAGCAGCAGCAGCAGCAGCAGCAGTAGAACTAGTAGTAGTAGTAGTAGTAGTAGTAGTCGTAGTCGTCGTCGTCGTCGTCGTAGTCGTAGTAGTAGTAGTAGTAGTAGTAGTAGTGGTGGTAGCAGTAGTATTGGTAGCAGTAGTGGTAGCAGTAGTAGCAGTAGTAGCAGTAGTAGCAGTAGTAGCAGTAGTAGCAGTAGTAGCAGTAGTAGTAGTAGTAGTAGGAGGCGGTAGTCATCGTCGTAGTAGTAGTATTATAATTAGTAGTAGCAGCAGCAGCAACATTAGCCAACACCCCCTCACAATCTATCGACAGATTCTACCGAGGGAGCAATCCTTCACACGATAGCCAATGAGAGCTATACCTGCAAACTCTGACTAAACCCATACCCCCTTCCGCAGAGAGCGTGGCTTATGGAAAAAAGATAAGTAATACCCGGCAAGCAACACCCTGCAAGAAATATCTGAACTCAGCTCCAAGGGCTGGTAATTACTTAGGGTCTCGGTATTGAGCGAGGCAGAGCGCCCAGTGCAGAGCCACTAACTTCTCTAAATCATGCAGAGGGCCTGCTGCTGACAGTGGCAGGTTCTCCTTCAGGAGTCAGGAAGGGGTTCGGCCGTTCGAATTAACGGCCCTATGGTAGGGATTTGGGTTTAGGGGTGTTTCGCGCTTGCAGTTTCTGTTGCATCTGGGCTTCAAAGGTCCGGAGTGCCAACATGTATGCTGTGTTTTTTTCTCGGTTTCCGCCGTTCATGTCGCAAAGGCAAGTCTTAGGTCTTAGGTTCCACACAAACCCCGGAAGAGCTCCCAGATCAACCACGACATACACCCCCCATATGGGTGGTTCCCTAAATTAGGGGCCCTTTATTAGGTGCCCAAAAAATTCAAAAGAAACGTACGGCACCCTTACATAAAGGACCCTAAAAGGGACCCTAGTTTAGAGAACTACCCTGAGCCCCTACAAACTTCTGCATGCCCTATACAAGCCCTAAACCCGATACGAAAAACGGATAGGGTTTAGGGTTTAGGGCTTCCCCCAAGCCCAGCATGTGACGAGGCATCCGCTTCGAGTTGAAGCTTGATGCCCTCGCAGAGGGAGGCACGTCCTGTGGGTTTTTGGGGGGGTGTAAGGGTGTTGGGGCTCAAGGAGCGTTTGCTTGGCTTGACTGGAAAGCTTTAGGGTGGAGGGTTTAGGATTCAGGGTTTAGGGTTGAGGGTTTAGGCTTCGAGGTTCCAAGTAAGTGTTGTTTTATCCTTCGCATGTATGTTTCCGGCCTGGAAACCCTGCGAGCCCATGCCGTCCAGAGTCACCCAAATGCATAAGCCCGAAAGCGTCATAATAGTATAGAGGCCGCTGTTCCTAGCTGATTACAGAATGTAACCCGCCCACACACACACTTGTCTGAAACCAGTATAGTAAGGCCCCCATATGTCAAGCTGTGTGTTGTCTCACTGTTGTCTTGTCCTTTCGCATCTCTGATTTCAGCCTTCCTGGCACGGCCTTTAGCCCTTAGCAGCCGGAGCCCGAAAGCCTGAAACCCGATAAGAAGCCCAATGCCGCGTATCACAAACTGTGCCTCTCAGTCTTTTTGTCTCCTCTTGTTTCAGCAAAGATGGGGATATTCGGCAGGAAGGTAGCATCGAGAAGGTCAAGGGTGGAAGGTTTGCATGAGAAAGCAGCTGTGGTTCGCCTGTTCGATCTTCGAAGAATTCAGTTCATCGCTCCGTGCTCTAAACCGTACCAAACCCTCAGCTTTCTCCCATCAACCTGGCCACTCCGGTGCAGGTCCTGGCCCAAATTGGTACTCTGTGTCCGAAGGCAGGG